ATATCTGTACTCAGTGTTTTGCAAATATTTGTATGATGACAAATTTTTGACATTTGTTGACCAATATTTGTTATAATCTGTTGAACCAAAAAACCGAATGAAGTAGATGGGTATTTCAATGAAAGTCTAGAAGTATATTCTCTAGCCAAGATGATATTATGTTCACTGGAAATGTTGTCAACACAGAGATTTTGCATACAATTGTGACAGTTTTTAAATATATTTTTGTTTAACCTTTTCAAAATATAACCAGCTATGTAAGTTTGAACCTGTCCACGTATATCATTGATGGCTACTGTTGGGTTATAAATTGTAACTGGTAGGTCAACTGATGTAAATTGATAATTTACCTTAACCAATTCATCCGGATTAATTTGAAATAGATGCTTGTATGACGTCAAGCTAGCTTCAACCATATCCTCACAATTTGAACCAGGGGAATTTGGTGACATCAAATTGTTTAAAAGCAATGTTTTATAAGCAGATGCAAATGCATTACACGATGGATTGCTTGAACTGACACTTCGAGAAGCTCCAAAAAAACATTCCAACGAATCCTGATTAACATGCCGTGGTAAAAGCGAATGAATGCCATTTTTTTGTAACATTTTAAAAAGTGTTTGAAAACCTAAAACATACATAGAAAATTAATTTAGATAAATATATATTTATTTAATAAAAATAAATAATAATTATGTGGTAAACAAACCTCGTATTGTTGTCATCCAGTTATTCAATGTTGGGGTAAAAGATGTTTTCCCATCCTTAACAAAACGCATTGTGGAAAGTACCTTCAGACTGTAAGACCAAAGTGCATGATGAGAAGATTTAGCTGTAACAGCTGTACGATATATTTTGCCATCTACAACTCCATCACAACTGCCATTCAATGAATCAAATAATTGATCAAAAAATAAACAGATTTTCGCAGTGTCTTTGGCATTTGATTCAATTAAATTTTTAGCTGTTAACAGAAATGTAAAAGATGAAATAGTAATTATAAATAGGAATCAAAAACAAACTAACTATTTATACATAAATAATATAATTGTTAACACTTACAGGCTAAAAACAGCATTATAGATGATACATGTTGAGAAAATACTTGTGTCGCACATTTCACTTTCATTTTTAGTATCTTCTCAGGCACAACATGTCGGTCAGTCAATCTGGGCAACATTTTACAGTCTGGTATAGCGTTATCAATTTCATAGAGTTCTCGAATGTGTGACCATTTTGCACGTCCTTTGTTCCCATCCATACAAAATACCAAGTCTTTCGTAAGTAAATTGTTATGTATGCACTTCATTAAATGGGGGACATCAAAAATATGAACTATCTTCATGGTTTTGTGGTCGTCTAGTTCTATTTCATAAATATCATCCCTATATTCTTCATTCCTTTTAATGTAAGCACCCCTGGTTTCAGTTTTTAAAAATTTAATTGCTTCTTCATTAGTTCGCCCTTGATCAGAAATAGTTGCCAATATTTGTAAGCCCGCTTTGTTTACTTGTTTAATAACCTTTTAAAAACAATTTATTTTAAAATAAATATTTTACATAAAATACACTTGTTATTGTCATTCTCACTTCTTTCAACTGACATGCCAGTTCATGTTGTTTTGTAGCTCCTTGGCAAAATGTATATGCCACTGGTTGCTTAAATTTTTTTTTTATTCCACGCACCATAAATACCAATGCATGATCAGCGTATTCTTGGCTTCTCGTCGTGTCATTTTCAACAAAGCCATCAATTTGGTCAGATGTTAAATTGTAGTGTAGTCCACTGCTCAAACAAATTTCATCAAACATCAATGTACAAAATCTAAAAAATGTAATTATCTTATTATTAGGCAATAACGAAATTGATATATAGTGATTATAGTATAATACCTTTCTAGTGGTTTCAACTTGTCAACTTTTTCTTGAAGTACCTTCATAACGATTGGGCTTATTCCGGTAGTGATTGAAACGCTATTTAAAACATTATGGAGAGTTTTAGGACTTGGTAGAGTGAACATCATTGATAACATCCGATAACATTTTGGACTACGCTTGTACAGAGATAGACTGAGTATTTTTTCATCAATCGTAAACCTCCGGCCTTTGTTCTTTTTCTGAGTCTCGCGCATCTGCAATTTGGTGAATAAAGAAGCAGTGGCTGTCATTTTTTCAGAAATTTTCTCATCCAAAAATTGTTTGGAGAAAGATTCAGCTGCACTCAATCGCTGTTTAAATAGTTGTTTTTTTGACCCTTGCTTCCTCATTTTTCTCAATAAATCATTTGTCAGTGCATAAAACTTCTTACACCTAGGCGTAAGTTGTTTACAACGACTAAGTCCAAATTGTTGTAACAATCCTAAAATATTTATAAAATAATATATAATAAACTAAAAAAATGTAATAAATTATTAATTGTTATCAGAGCTTGAAAATTATATTTATTAATAAATAAGTTTAGCATGCAATTAGCAATTTATTAGCATCAAGTTCCAAATCCCAATTATTAAATAATAACCTAAATGTTTCTTAGTTTTCAAAGTTTTTGAAACCACTGGATCAGGCATGCAGTTCTTTTCTACTTCAATATTTCCTCCTATTAATAATAAAATAATCAAGTACAGAAGCAGTCACTAAAAATACCGGATGATTCTTTTATCAAACAACACTCATTAATTCAAAAAGTGTAAATTTTTTTGAAAATATTTTTTTACATAGTTTCAAGTCGCTAATAAAAGAACATTTTTATTAAAAAATTAGATTTTTAAATATTTTTTATCCTTATAATTTTTAAGTTTTTTAATTTTTTGAATGACAACATAGCGTTTTAATTTTATATTCCAAAGCAAAATATTTTTCTGAGTATATCGATACATGAAAATCGAATTTGGGGTGAGTAGTTTATGAGTTATAAATACAGCATATATAGGCTACATTGCTAAAATAATAATATAAAAGCATTATAATAACTAATCACTACATATTAATTGTTACAAATAAAACTAATAAATATGAAAAATACTTACGTAAAATATGTTTAGTGCTTTTTGGACTGAGCACGGAATCTTCCAAACTTAAACATTCAATCCCGGACATGTTAAGGTCATGAATATTTAAAGAGATACCTGAAAAATAAAATAATTAAATATATTATTACAAGAGCTAAATAAAACAAATAAATTTAGTATTACCTGATTGAGAATTGTCAATTGGTAGTTTTTCAGTAGTTGGTGTACTATGAGACATTTCTAGTTCTATGTGGGAAGAAGAACCATGCCCAAGTGTTAATTCAGATTCAATAGAACCATTGTCAATAATAGCAGTGGTAGTAGTAGTACTAGCAACAGAAGTAGGAGTAGTAGTAGTACTAGCAACAGAAGTAGTAGTAGTAGTAGTACTAGCAACAGCAGTAATAGCACGATTTACTAAAAAAAAAATTATGTTAATATTTAAAGACCAATTATTATAAATGACATGTACATTAAAACTATATTTAATAAATACAAATAAATTATAAATTACCACACATATTAAGCGTAGGATACGCATTGGCATTCAAGCGTTTTGTTCCAGGACTTGAACAGTCTGTAGTAAAATGTGCAGCACAAATTCTTCTGTTCTTATATACTAAATTTGGATCTTCGTTCTCTATGCCTACGAGTTTCATCCATTCAACCAACCGTGTTGAAAACAACCTTGGGTTGGGGAATCTATGAGATGTAACACCTACAAAAGAATAAGTACTAATAGACATGTATTTACATTTGGTATCATTTTCGACCGAAAACGTGTGTTTAAAATCATAACCACTAAGTATACAAATTTACTGACCTTTTTCTCTACAACCTCTCACTGCATATTGGTGAAAACTTGTCGTCATTGTTCAGTAATGTAAAAACACAATGTTTAAACAATAATTGTAATTAAAAATTTAAAAATTTCAAGTACAAATTATGCGAGCGCGGAGCAAGGTTTCCGTACAATCGCAAAATGCAAAGTCATGGACGTCGGACGATGGACATAGTGATAGCGCGCGTGCATGTGCTGCGACCGGTGGCTGGGCCATGAAACTATACGGTGCCAATTACTGCCGATGAGTTATACCCGCCTG